TTAGGTATGGGACATATGGGATATAAAAGATGTTGAATGAACCACCGAAGACGACTAAGAAATAAAATATGGGGGGTGCCATTTAAAAAAATGAAGTTATGGTACTTCCAAATTTTGAAAAGTTAACGTGCCATAGTAAAGTAATCAAACGTTCTAGACCGCAGTTCTCGGCACCAAAACATACATCATCATGTTGCTTAAGCATGTTCTCAATCCTAAATTGATATCCCAAAAATTGAGTGTTTTCTGATTTTTTGAACAAATGTCTGCTGGAGCAGATTTTTCTAGAAAAATTCGAATAACTCGAGAACGACCGAATCAAATTGCAAAAAGTAAAGTTATTTATAAACCTTGAAAACAGACAAATCCAAATATGTAAAAATATACACGGTGTTCCATTTAAAAACATAAAGTTGGTGGCGACTTCCGGTGTAACCGGAAGTGCTAGAAATATGAAAATATTTTAGATGAAGAGATCGTAATTGATAATACCTAAGTCTGAATTCTCAAATTTTTATTTTCGCCAGAACCCCAGAAACGTCTAATGACCGGTCTCGCTGAGACACCCCCTGTATATATATAGTGGATTCTACACAAACTAACGTATATATTAAAACATGGAACATAGAGTTTCAATCATCCCTTACTTTTATATTCAGCAAACATTTTATGATTAATACCATGATAATTAATTAATTAATTGATACCTTATTAATTACCCAAAAATTAGAAACCAAATTTAATATAAATTATTGCGATTTTTTCTAAATAATTTCATTATAATACTTAGCACATACCAAAACATTACGATTTTTTGTCTACTATTTTAGAGAAACTAGTTTTTGTATTTTATGACAAATTAAATTTGCTCGCTGAACTATATCTTACGAATTTGATGATTTACGAAATGTTAATCAATCAATAAGTCGATCAGCGAACAACCTTACATAAAACTTTAGCTAAAGATGTTGGTACACGTGTTTTAAAGGCTGTGAGAAGTAACAAAAAAAAAGTGTTGTATCGTGGACACAGAAAAACTAATCGCTTCAATAGTGCATTCTATAAAAAAAAGATAATATACGATTGTTAAAATAATTATTTACAGATATCTAAGAAATGTTATTTGTATTGTTTTTTAAAAAAATATTAACAAATGTTTTAGATTATAAAATTAAATCAAACTTGAAAAAAAAAACACTACAATGCGACCTGTTTGTTTTTCTTTTTAATAATAATTGTTAAAGCAGCCAAAAATGTCTGTGATTGCGATATCTAAATTAATAAATAAAGATAATATAGAAATGTGTTTTTTATTTCACGAAACATAAAAATAATTAATTTTTGATATTATCCCGCCTATTGAGCAGCTCTCCTTTCTCTCATTTGTTTATAATTTCTAAACTCGTGCGGAGCCCAAGGGAATCTTGCAAACAGCGCCTCTTCCTTACTTGGAACATATGCAAAATATACATCACGAAATGTTGGCGTTGGAAGTTCGTAAGCAAATAAAGAGGGAAAAAATTCCCTTCCATGCGAAATAAGAGTTTGTTTTATTTGCCGATATTGGTTCTCTTTCAAACCTTCAGTCTGAAAATAATTTTTTTATTTAATTTTTTTTAATAAATATTTTAATGTACCCATTTTTTAACAAAATTCGATTGACCATAAGTATATTTCCTTGCAATACTATCTGGTATGTTTAATGATTCAGGCACTTTATAGGCTTTATGACATTTGTCCAATTCCCCCCAGAATACTCTCGAATACGTCATCATATCTTCACGATCTTTTATTGTATAATAAGATTTTGTTCTTAATGCCAACCAAATTCTAAAGTGTGGTAATTTATATGCACCTGGTAGATCAGCTATTGGGAAACCATCTATTGCCAAACCATCCAATACTTTCTGTTAATAAAGTTAATAAAAAACGTTAATTAACAAAGTTTTAATTTAATTTTTACCTGTATTATTTTAATTTGTTCTTCTCTCTCCCGTGGAATTTCTTTTACAATCACATATCTACCACAAGGATATTCCTCTTCCTCAATGTCTTCTTCACTTTCCTGTTCAACAGCTTCTTCTTCCTCAACAATTTTTTCCTTTGGAAATGGTCCGCAAGTACAACCATCATATGATGAACCTGAACTAGTTTCGGAACTAGATTTAGGACTAGTACTCGAAGAAGTTGTAGATGAGGTAGTTTTAGACGAAGTTGAGGTAGAGGACATATCTTCTCCTTGTCCTTCTCCAAGTTGTTTTTCTGATGAGCTAGATGAAGTCGTGGTGTGTGCCGATCCCATTTCTTCTAAATACTCCCTTGTATCATTTTCCATTTTTTCCAGGTAACGATGATACACTTGCATGCATCTTGCGTGCATCATCACGAAAGTATCGTACAGTTTCATACAATTACATGGTTCTGATGCTGATGTTCCTGAAATTATATAAACGTTTCCTTGGGGAGTTTTTCGTACTCCGGAGATATGATATTGAATGCGACCAGCAGGTAGAACCTTCAAAAAAAAATGTATAAAAGAAATTTATTATTAAATTTAATGTATTAGGACTTAAGCAAAGGACAAGCAAGAAGAAGTTATTGAGAAACTCCGAAAGATACAAATCAAGGTCACACTACGTAGCCTTGACCTTGGAAGCACCAGGTTCGTCAATTATAAATCATAACATAAAGAGGGATGTTTTGCGAGGAGTAGGAGTTCTTGGAGACATAAATTGAAGGTGGTTGAGGCTCAGTATGAATTGTAACCCCACTGGAAGAAGTTCAGGAATCAAATGAAGAATATCGAAAGTGGAGATTGAATATTAATACGGCTAAAACAGAACATATAGCAACAGGATGAGAAGTTGCAAAGAATATACATAGATATTTGGGCAGCACAATTTTGAAAGAAGGAACATTTGGTAAGGATATATACCGGAAATTTCATATAACTCGCAATATATGAATGTAGTAACCATAGTTAGGAATCTACTATGCACTTGCACTGTCCCATATAAAATGCGACATAGCTTAATAGTACAGGCATTGAGTAGTTTTGCTTGGAAAAAGTTAAGAGACGCACTGCTAAACACAAATGTTTCTATTGAACAAAAAGTAGAACTAACACTAGACCTAGAACTAGAAAGTTTTGGGTTTAGCCGTGCGTCTGAAGACTCTAGTGTTAATTCTAGTTTTAATTGTTATGCAGCACTACTAGAATCATTCACGTTTAGCCATCTTAAGAGACGTACGGCTAAATCCAAATGTTTCTAGGTCTAATATTAGTTCTAGTGACAATGCAAGAGTAAAACTAGAACTAACACTATACCTAGAACTAGAATTATTCGGATTTAGCCGTCTTTAGAGACGTGTGGCTAAACCCAAATGATTCTAGTTCTAGGTGTTGTGCTNTGTTGTGATCCATCCTCTCTCACTCATCTCACTACATCGATGATATCACACTCATTTTGAATAATGCTGCTTTGTTGAGTGCGGGAAGTTAGCCCCCCATTTTTTGATTTTTAAATTTTTTATTGTTGTTCTAGATTGTTCTAGAGTTGTTCTACATTGTTCCAAAGCGGCAAATCGAAAAAATAAGAACTCCGCGAGAAAACCGAAAAAACGGGTTTTTTGGCTAGCCCCCCCATTTTTGGAAAAATCAAATTTTCTTTGTTGTTCTGGGTTGTTCTAGTTGTTCTAGTTATTGTTATATATTGTTATTGTCTAGTTGATTGCTGTGACCATAGTTTTTCTATTATCAATTCCATATTACAAATATATACTTATTATAGCTAACGAAATCTGGAACAGCTATTATTTTCACTAGAACAACTCTCTAAAGGGCACTTTACTCTTTGAAAATTAAAGTTTTTCGAAGTTTCAGTCAGTAATTCTTGTATCAGCGGTTTTATATTACACAATAAGAANTTAGTTCTAGTGACAATGCAAGAGTAAAACTAGAACTAACACTATACCTAGAACTAGAATTATTCGGATTTAGCCGTCTTTAGAGACGTGTGGCTAAACCCAAATGATTCTAGTTCTAGGTGTAGTGCTAGTTCCACATAGTAACAGTGCTAGTGTAAAACTAGAACTAAGAGTCTTCAGACGCACGGCTAAACAAAAACTTTCTAGGTCTAGTGTTAGTTCTAGTTTTAATTGTTATTCAGCGCTAGATTTTTATATATTTTTATGGAACTAAACGTGGAACTGAAACTAAACCTAAAACTAGAAACATTCCTATTTAGCCGCACGTCTTTCAAGACGGCTAAACGCGAATGATTCTAGTTCTAGGTCTTGTGTTAGTTCTAGTGATAGTGCTAGTGCAAAACTAGAACTAACACTAGACCTAGAACTAGAAACATTCGAATTTAGCCGCACGTCTTTCAAGACGGCTAAACCCGAATGATTCTAGTTCTAGGTCTTGTGTTAGTTTTAGTTCTAGTGCTAGTGCAAAACTCGAACTAAC